AAAACGAGGCACCAGATCAACTTTTACGGCTGCCATCAGGAAAGATCTGGCTTGTCGCGTTCCCTCAACGTCACTCCGAATATTGTTTGTGCCCCACGCACCATCCTCTTGTAGCAATATTTTTATTGTCCCTATGTGATTTCTTTTTTATGTTCTTACTGGTGTTTGATCATAATTCGGTCATTGAAATAGTTTTTGCTGCCGACCCTACCATTATTTTGACCCTCTGGCAGCAAAGGAATATTATGCCGGCATTACACACGAAATAAGAATGTAGACACTCCGTCCCATATCTCAAATTACATCACAACGTGTTTACACAACTGTAGTGCAGAGGTACGATGGGCAGGGTCTGAGAAAATATTAGTTTCAGTATTTTCAAAGGAGCGACGAAACAAAATAAAGAAAGGACCGCCAATCGGCAGCGCGTGCAAGCAGAGGCAGTAGTGACAGGAAGCGCGAGGTGTGTCTTTCGTACGGCCGACATCAACTCACGCACTGTCCGAAGATGTACTCTGTTTTACTCGTAGGATTGCAACGCTGCGGAATGTAGGCGTGTGATTTCAGAAAGCGCGTCCTACCATTTCTACGCGCGAGTGCTCCTGCAACCCAAGCATTGTATACAGTTACGTCCTCGCGCCCGTGCCTTGGCCAGCCCCGTACACAACTTATGCAGTATCGAAAAGGCATAGTTCAAAATTGACGGTCCCACTTTTCCATACCGCTTCAAAACCCCATCTCGCTCAAATCACTTGGCAGCCGGACAATTTTGGCAGGGGGCCTCAAGTTGGGGATTATCCGGTACATTGTCCTCCCAACAATGAACGTGGGCGCGACGCGCCAGAGGGTGAACACGTGAAAGGAGGGGCGTAAGAGTGGAGAAGGAAACTCAAGGTCGCAAGCGACGGGAAAAAGGGTTTCGAAATTGGCGCACAGGTTTTGCAGCATTTGCTCATACGGACAGCCAACGCCGCCCTGGTGGTTCAACTAATGTTTTGTTCAAGATGGCCGCCGTGGTACCGCAGCCTTAAAACGGAAATTCACGTCTTGTGACTTATACAGCCATTCAGTTTCCCGCTAAATCGACACTGCGACGTGACATTGCAATTTTCTCACCAATTCTCTATAATACATTTCCTGCATTATTGAACTTTAAGGGTAAAGTTCGTTTCCATTTGTTTACTTTCTTTTTTGTCTCTACTCGATGGCATCTGCAGGCCTCCTGGCGTGCATCATTAGCTCGGTTAATTTCTGGGCGACATTAGATTTTTAGCACCCTTCTTGTTCACATGCTTTCCCAATCTTCAACTTACGAATTTACGTCTTAAAGGAGCTGCGCAACAATTTCACGGCTTTGCTTAAATAATTGTGGAAGTTGATGCCTGACACTTCTGTAGTGAACTAGAGAAAACGGACTTTGCCTGGATACCCTAGTTTTTATTTTAAAAAATGAAAAAGATCCAGGTTTTTGCTGCCTCTCAACTCGTACATCGTCTTCCGGGTCACGTGCACAGTGACGTCACTTGAGTAGGCGCGGGGTTCCGGAAAAGTTCTCTCTTTAGAGCCATCAGTGAGAAGCGAGAACTCATCCGCTCGCGACCGCGTGACCACGTGCTGGCGGGCGCCCCGCGAAATATACGGTGAAAGGAGGAAAGTCTCATCCGGGTCCGGCAATACCCATCGTTGCCCGTCCGTCGCCGTCTTCCTCCCCCTCCCTTCTGGCGGCTATTTGCGGTTTTGTGGACCTAGGATAGATGGCGCCACTAAAACTCCGTATAATAAAAGTTTTGTCGATGATATCAGGGTTTGGACGCATTTATATATATATTGGAACGACAAGATTTACAGAAAGTTACCTTTTATCGAGCAGGTATTCACACAACTTGCTATTTTTTTTACAACTACCCAAGTGACGTCACGCCGCTTGTTTCTCATGGCCGCCGCTCGTGGCTGCAGGTCGGGAAATATTCTAAGTTTTGCCTCGCTATTACGTGGCGGAATCGCAACATTTCGATGAAAAGAGGTGTGTTTTCTGCCATTTGTGGCACAGTGAACTGTATCAAAAGCAGAAAATGCCAATTCTTTCAACGTTAAAATCGTTGCACAGCTCCTTCAATGCAGTTCACAATGCTCTCATAGTCCCTGCCTCTCTTGCCAGCTTTTCTAGCCTTCGGGCGATTTCTTCAATCTCATCCTCTCGCAGAGCGCTTTCCTTTTGCACGTTGTGTGGAATGTCTCTGCTCCTCTGTCCTCCGAACACAGCCAGGATCCTGCTGTGGTAACTGCCAACGCTGGCTGTACCCTCCTCATCAATTGTAATCCTGGTCAGTTTTCAACTAATCATTGGTGACATAAGGACATAATCGATGCATGATTTTCGGTCTCCAGATAACGAGGTGTACATTCTATCACATGTGCTCGGGGTCTTTCAATCACCAAGTCATTGACCTCAACCAAATTCAGCAGGTATTGGCCATTTCCATCCCTCTTCCCGTCCAGTCCCTCAATATTTGCCTCTAGACCTCTAAGCATAATGATGTCTTTACCAATGTTTTACATCTCCCGGATGTCGTGATCCAAGCATTTGGCCATTTCACTTTTTTCTTCATAAAGTCTTTCCCAGTCATCCAGCCTACCACAGCAACTTCCACCGATGTTCTTTCCACTTTTCCTCTCACCCACACATGCTCACAGTGTTCCAGTTTCATTATTCTCTATTGTTGATTCTTCTGGAAGAGGACTCCCGCTCCGCCTCTTTCCCCATTTCACTTTGTTACATCCCTCCCACACCAAGCCTGGGAAAATGGGCGGGCCTTCCTCTCCTCGCGGATGAGTCTCCGCCATCCCAAGAATGGAGATTTCTCCATTGTTCATCATTGCTGCCAGCTCATTCTACTTGCCTCCTCCCCGCCCTGCCTACATATTTAGGAAAGCCACCTTTGTTGCTTTCATCCATCACTTTTCTGTCTCGGCGTCGTCGTCTTCGTTTTTGTGACCTCTTTTTTCACCGATCGCCCCTCTTCCTATCGTCGAATGGCGGTCCTATGCTGGTTGGTGACCAAGGGCATGCCTCAGTTGTCAGTTCGCCATGTGTGCGACCATCAAAAACAAATGGTGAAAGGAGCTCCCTAGGGTTGTCGCTGACCTGACCCTGGTGACTGCTAATTCGACTGCTGGTGGTGCGGAGGTACCAGATGTGGTGGGGGTCCTACGAAGGGCTTGGCCTGGGGCAAGGTTTGCACTGCTGGGTGTTGAAGAGGTGCTGGCTGGTCCGTGCTCGCCTGTTAGGAGCCACTGATTCGTCTTGTCGCTCTTCCTTGTACCCTGCGGTGTCCCACCGCGGACGTGTCGGTTCCATGGTTCCAGGCCAGCTGGAGTAGAAGGTCTGGCTCAGCATCTTTTAGCGTCACGTTTTCGGTGCTGCAAATTGAGCCTCTCAGAAAAAAAAAAAAAAGAAAAGAAAAGGTCAATGCTGTATTTAAAAAAAAAAAAAAAGATTGTTACTTGTAATTTGGGTAACCAGTTCAGGTGTGTGTATGAATGTGTTTAACATATTTTAAGGCCACTCAGTGACTCTCAAAATCAGTCATCATATGTAAAAAAAGGCTTTTTGCTTCCGATGATTCACTCAAGCTTCCTGCCTTCAGTAGCACGTCTCGCAAGCTTCCGGGAGTGTGCACGCGCGGTCTAAGCATGGTGGAAGTCCACGAGTGCGTTTTTGGTCGGCCGAAGGAAGCGTTCTGCCATATGCTCACCCTCTCAGCGGCCATAGGGGAAAACTAAAGTTGTTCGTGGTATAGGTGAGCCCCCGATGGTCCCACAAAGTATGGCAAGCAGACTTTGTAGTTAGGGCTTTCGTCGTAGGGAATATTTAGTAAGTAATGTCAACTGCAGTTACTAAATTAGACTCGCCACTTAAGAAAAAGACAAAAAAAAAAAAAAAAAAACAGCACAGGAAGATAGCGGGAAAGCAGAAGGTCGGAACAAACAAGTCGCTAAGTTGAGCTTTGGCCCCCTGGCATCGAAACATACATTAGTTTGTGTGAGGCGTTATAAAAATATTGAAAAATAAAGTTTGCCTCAATCAGTATAGCCAGCTATAGGCACAACCTATTTAAAACCTATTCGATGTAAACGAATTAGATCCAAAGATCAAGTGGTAATTTCACCTAACAGCCCATTGGGAACTGAAGCAAGAAAAAACTGGGCCTCGCCAAAGGAACGACCCAGAAAGAGCCAGCTGGGAAAAAGGACCCCGAGACCCCAACCCCCACCCGAACCCGCCCAGGGGCCATGAGCGTGTTGCACAGCGGGTTCGACGAGACCGCATGGCTACCATGAACCGAGCGGGCCCGCCGCGGTGATCTTTGATATCCCACGATTCTACATTGGAGGAGTAGGCTATTTCCTCCCCCCCCCCCCCCCCCCCCCCCCCCCCCCGTCGTGGGGACACTACACTTAATGTCGGCCTTGCCCTTATAGAGGCCGCCTCGACCATCGGTTGACCACTGTGATCCAGGGGCTCGCCTTCTCCAGTGGGAAAGGCTAGGGATGGAAAGTCCCTCAATATTATTCCATTCCTTAAGGGTACCCCCAGAGTTAGGGCTCCTCCCCCCAAATGCAGCATAGAGGAGCAAAACCTGTGAACAGCCTCCTCGGCGTAACGTCGTCACACTCTGATGGTGCCAACTCTGTCACGACATCCAACCGAGCGTCCATTGGCGCGTTGACAATCCGAACGCTGAGGTGGTGCTCGTGACCAATTGGTGTCTGCGTCTGATCTGATGTGACGACGTCAAAATGCTAGTCATTGGGCTTCGATTGTTTTACGAAAAATAGGGGATGTGTGTCTTTCCGATTTTTTAGCGTATTTACAATGACGTCATCATATCTGGCCGAATGGAAAAGTTGGTAACTTTCCGGTTTTTTTTCTTGTTCCTGCCCTGCATCAGTCAGGTCCGTACTAAATGTAACGCTGCACCGTATTCGTCCTCCAACAGCGCCGCCGGAACTTTCTTCTAAGAGCCCTGAAAACGGTGTCCTTATTGGACGAGGAGGATGTGACTCGGCAGATTCGGACACTGATCACGTACCTTGCGGAACTTCCCGATGTTCCGGCACTTGAGGTGCCTGGGCTGACGAACGACGAGGTAAGAAAACGTTTCGTGTTTCGTAGAGTAAACTGACGGGGATACGGAGTTTAAGAGTGTGCTGCAGTGCTGACATTTCGGCGAGGATGTGAACCTAATAAGTAATGCGCGAAACTTGGGACTGCTATTCCCATTTTTACACTTGGAAGCTGCGGAGGAGGCGACATCCGACTGGCCTTTTACCGTCTTATGTCTCGCAGGCATCCAAGTACCATCATCTAGGAAGCAAGGCCCTATCTAGATCTTTTTACGTCTCTTATCGTGGGCCAACGCGGCCACAGATCAGGCACGAGTGCTGTGTCATCGTCTGGCTGGTACTTGTCTGTAGGCAGTAAGTGCGCTGATACCAGCAGTATGCCGACGTAGCGTTCGAGTCCGATTTGTGGCCGCGTTGGCTTTAGGTAATTGGAGTAGAAGAGACAGCAATGGCCCTGTTACGATGCGCCGTTGCGAGAGACTGCGAGCGGCTTTGACAAGATCGGTTTCAAAACCCCTTGTGACTGCTTACGACGAGCCACGCGGCAGCGATGGGGGTCGTAAGAGGATTAGAAAGCGGTTGTGTTGAAGCCGGTGGTAGTCGATCTTAAGTGCTCGATCTTTCGCCGTGTGACCCGCTCTGGCACATGCGCTCGCGCAAAAAGCGGGATCAAGCGACGAAATTGCGGCGGTTCATTGGTCCGGGAGAGGCGAGTGGACGCGAGTGATTATAATGCAATTAATGCAAAGTTCAAATAACTGCAACTTGCATTAATTGGAACCGCTGTCTTCGGGGAACCCGTAGTTGCTGAAGTCGACCGGCCGGCTGCAGGAATTATTAGAGCAGAACAGGCGTCGTGCACCCCCGCAGCTGTTCAAACACGAGGATGCCGTCATTGCGTAGCATTAGACAGTTGTGATGTCAAGAGCTGGAATGGATGGGCACGAAATAAGGGCTCGAAGAGCATGATAGTCGGTGGTGTGTTTACGCTGCCGGACATATGCGCAGAGCACATTGTTATCACTCGACAGCCCAAAAAGGTTGCGTATTGGTAACGGGAGAAAACAGCGCAAAAAGGACGCAAGGGTAAGTAGCAGAAAGACAGAAACACAGCGCTGTTTGTCTTTCGCCTATTCGTCCTTGCCTCTTTTTCGCGCTCTTTTCTCCCGTTACCATTATGCGCCAACTAGCCCAACCTCAAACTCTATTACGATTGGGTTACGGCTTGAGCCAGTAAGAACGTGGACCGACAAACAACGAAGGAAGAAGTCTTAGCATAATAAGACACGCCATCCGTTTCTTAAGCCTTCAGGGGTAGGGTCAGTTGTGTGGTAATGGCTTGGAAGTTGCGCAGTGATCGGACTATGGGTAAAGAAGAGGGTATAAAGACATTCAAATCAACGGTCACCACGCTGGAACCGCGGCCACGCTGCTGCTACCTGAGGCGTGTTTCTCCCTTGTATGAACGTTCTGTGGCACACTGGTAATACAGAAGCAGTCTGCAGAGGTGTTGGAAGCATACGTATGTATCAAGCGAACATGCTGCGACCATATGTCTGAGGCGTGCTCCGGTTTTGCGAGGCCTCTACAAACGCTCATTGTACTGACGCGTGCACGCGTATATTTGAATCGGCGTGCTTCAACACCCCTATACGATGCGGTCGTTGTGCTATACTTTGTTTCAGCTCAAGTCCACACGCAGCCGACGCTACAAAGTGATGGGACTATATAATCAAGAAGCGTCTAAAGAGCAAGTCACTCCGCCTTTTCTGTTGGGTCAGCGATAGTTGCGCACGCACAGAAGCACAACGAACACCATTCGACCATGATGTAGAAAACCCGAGACTGTGGTAAAAGCAGGGTAACTTGGTCGAAGAAGAAAGACGGGGTAAAAAGAACGTCCCCTGTCTTTCTTCTTCGACACAGTTTCCCTGCTTTTATCACAGTCTCGGGTTTTCTACAACATCTACCAGCTCGCCTACTCACTCACTGTTTTTTCATTGACCATTCGACGCCAACTGATCGATCCCATCAACTCGTAGCGTCGGCTGTGTCTGGACTTGAAGGTGCCCTGAGGAGGTTTCTGAGATCGCCTTAAATGGCAATAACTCACTCTGCTGGCTCGAAGGATCCTAGGAATCCCTAAATAATGACGATGAGCGGCCGATTTCTCTATGAAAAAAAGCGATCCAAGATCGAACGCACCAATTTTATCTCCAAAGGATAGGTTGGAGCATGTTCCAACAGTATAGGACCACTGTCAGTCAATAGCGACCGAAAGGATCCTTGCGTCTTTGGTCGCTAGAACCGCGGAGTGATATCTCGAATGCGCGCGCCTCGTTGCCTATTGACCTGTAACTCTTAAGTTTTGAACAGCTCCCCTGGCGAGAAACATCGGATATTTTTAGGTTGTGTTACCACTGTGCGTAGCGTTGCGTCTTTTCAAGCGCTCTATTAGTGCGCGTTAACCATGAACAGACGCCGAGGGAAGCTGACAGACGTACGCCCGTGGAAGTATACGTGAGGGGACTCTAGGAGGCCGCTTCACGTGAACATTAAATGGTCGCGTCTAGCGCACAATAGCGAAGGTGCATCAAAGGCGTGTGAACGCTACAGCGCCCCCTGGCCGAGAGAAACAGACCTATGCAGCCCGGACTATGATTCAACCTAGCGAGCGCGCGCCGGAGCGCTCCTGAACTGACGACAGGACATATCACTCCCGCCTAAAACAAAACAGAAAACAAAACGAAAAAAAAAAAAACTACATAGTGTGATGCTTTTAAAGCTATAATTGCAGTATTATGATCTCTCTCGCGCAACATTTATCATTTTCCGACTAATCTTACTTCTATCACCTACAAAAGCATGCACATTTTGTAATAGCAGCGTCTAGAATCTCAAAGAAATGTCGCGTTTTTGTTGATCACATACCGTCGTGGCTGCCGGCCCGATGCTCCTCCCATCTCCAGAGATAATTTTGATCTTTGGTTGCTTGTTTTATATAAAAATCGGCCGCGCATCGTTATATTTTATACATTTCTAGGATGCCTAGAGCCCCCAGAGGGAGTTATTGCCATATTTAGGCGACCTTAGAAATATCCTCTGGCACCTTTAAGGGAAAAGGGAATATAGAGTTTCTACTTTGCCTGTCGCGGAGACCAGTGCAGAGCTTATATTATACACGAGTGCCGGATCGGCGCTCGACTGGGGCTCTTGTTAAGTCATCGAGGGCAAGACCGGAATGCTGACGCAGCACTCGTATCCAATCTGCGCTTGCCTCCGGTACGTGACGTAAAAAAATCCAGCACTGCGGCCTTGTCGTCTAGGCAGTGCTGCGAGGAATAAAGCGAGACTCAAACACTGTACTGTTTTCTCTCAGTGTCCCGCAGACAGCCACCAGTGCACGCCTCTGGCCGTCTCTCCCGCCGTCGACGTGGAGGAAGAGTCCGAGACTGTAGCGGCAACTGAAACTCCCACATTGTGGGCTGGTTCCTCGGTGGACATTCAACCGTCCCTCTCTCCTCAACGTCATGGGACCGACGAGAAGGTAAAAGATACATATTCTACAGCGTGAAGCAAAGGGATCGATGGCTGTTTGAACGGACCGCATAAATCGGTTGAGGAACGCATTGACCTAAGATTTGGTAGAGAGGTGGGCGCATCGGGCATTAAAGGAGTACAGAAACGAAATTTTAGGATTCACTTAATTGCTTAGGCGTATGCCTCGTTGCATCAGCAACTAAGAAACATCAGTCTTAGTTGAGTAATTGCCTAGAAAAGTAGTTTGAAAAGGAAAAAGGCAATTTCCCACTTGCATGTAGTAATTGGGGGCCCGAAGTTTTGTTGGGGGATCGTGACATCTTGCTCCTCCCGCATTAGCACCACCCTGGGCAGTATGCCGTACTCGTAGAGATATCCCTGCCGTGAGCGCAATGACGCAGTCACGCTGCTTCGCTCGGCGCGCGATTCTTTTGGTATCGCCTTGCTGTTTTTGTGTTTATTTATCGAGTTTATCTGTAGGATGCCGCGCTATTGCGCGGCAGAGGGCTCCGGCAACAGCGTGCTGAACTGCGAGACGCCGACCCACGGGTTTCCGAACGATGGGATACTCCGAGCCCTCTGGATCCGTCTGGAACATCTGTCGTCCCGCGGGCGCCGGTAAAATCGATCGCATGTACGGTGACCTTTTTTCGCGATGACGGCTATGAAAGGCGACCCACTGTCCTTAGGAGTCTGGGTCCTCCTACCAAGAATATTCAGCTGCTACCAGGGGTTGTGCCGACTATTTTTTCCCAAGAAAAAAAGACCAGAAGAGCTCATCGAACCGCACGAAAAGCGAAGCAAACTGGTGAGCAGTGTTGGAAAAAATACTCGATAAAAGTATTTAAGCTAAGTTACTAAATACCTGCTTCATAAAGTATATAAAATACTACTCAAGTTACTTTCACTGTAAAGTATCTTGAGTAGAGTACAGATACTTAGAAATGTAATTCAATTAGTTTTAAAGATACTTCCGAATTTCGTAGTTTGTATTGACGTCAGTGACAACGGCAATTATACAGCTGCGTAAATCTGGGTTACCAGAATGCCTTATTAGCACGCAACAGCACAAAACGAAAAAAAAAAAAAAAAGTATCGTAGGGTTATTTTATGCAATTCAACCATAAGGAGCAAAGTATTGTCCCGAGTGGCAAATCATGAGGCGGCGAGTAACTGAACAACCTAAAAGTTTATTGGGGCGAACTTGTGTCCAAAACAAAATACTGTAAAAGACTAAATTTTCGCGAGGACCTAATTTTCGCGACTTTCGCGAATCGCCTACAATTCGCGAAAAATACGTCCCGCGAACAATCCAGCCAATATGTTAACGCTACGGAAGCTACACTCTATTCGCGAAAATTAAAACCCGCGAATAATTTCTATTTATCAGCTTTGGCCCGATTCGCGAAAATTTGAGCCCGCGAAAATTAAGTCGTTTACAGTAGACAAAGTCTAGTGTCGATGTCGGCGAAACAGCAAGATCGACCGCTGAGGCGAGACTGACTCCGGACCGCCACTCGGAGCATCTTTTGTACCCACGTGCGTTTCTGGAGCACTCGGCGTAGAAAGTTTGGCGCGTAGAATAGTCGTAACTCGATCAGACGACAAAATTCTTGAACTTACCAGAATGTCAAGTTGAAAGAATAAATAAAAAAGAAGTCCGCTTCCTGGTATCCAACTTGGAGCCTCCGGGCGAGAGCCTCCGCGCGAGAGCCAAGCCCGGTAACCATTCGGCCACGCGGTCGATGGGCAACGCGCGTGGCAATATCACTGATAGATGTTACAAAACATTTTTGGGAAAACAAGAAATAGGTCGTTTTATTGGGAGGAGATGAGACCGTGGCGCCCCAAGCGGTTAACTTTAGAACTAGATGGATGGGTACAACAAATGCAACGGCTCAGCGCTCAGCTGACTTAACAGAACGCGGCGTCAGCGTTCGGTTCGCCCACACTAGCGAGAAAACGGGCGTGGCACGCCGATCGCGGGAAGACGCGTCCCGCATCCTGAAGACAACACTAGATAGAGTTCTGCCGCCGCGAATGTCACGTGACAGCACAGGAGGCCTCGCGCACTCTTGAAGCATTCGAGCGAACGCATGATTTCCCGCAAGATCTCGAGGATTCTCGAGGCAATCGAGCGGGCGAGGGACGTTTTTGCTCGGCGAAGAAAAGCGCGTTTTCAACGCGATCGGCGCGCCGCGCGCGCGTTTTCTCGCTAGTGTGGGCGGCCCTTAACTGTGTCCACTTCTCATTCTCTTCTATTTGTTATTTTCTTGACACTGAAGTCTGCATTGTTGTCGTAGGTGGTTTCCTGGTCTCGTTGCGCCTCAGGGTGGCATCTTTACTTCCGTAAAACCACACCTTTTGTTTGAGGATTTTTTTGGGGGGAAGCTCTATAGACCGACACGCGGAGCGGCTCTGTTTACCAACACGGCCGGAAGGCCGCGCATGCGCGGCAGCTATGTGGGCAAAAGGGGCCCGGCTCTCCGTGTTTTCGCCATTCCGTCGTGTGGCGTGCGCTCGTTGTTGACGTTGTTAGGACGCTTCTAGCTGTATTTGTGCGTCGTATTTCCTGACAACGTATGTCGTATGCTATGCCCGACTATTTGCGCTCGCTACCCGAGCCTGAACGGCAGCGGTATCGAAACAAACTGCGTGGACGGCGTTGCCTGCGAGGATCCGTACGCCGCAAACAAGGTCTGCTGGACTTCCAACGTGAAGTTGCTGCCACCCAAGTCGACGACTCACGTCGTCGTTTATTTAGTTTTTTTCGCCAAGCCAGTTCACGGATGACACGGTGCAGACGCACAAGTCTCTCGAGGCGAGTCGGTTTCCGCACTGCCGGCGGGATCAGCCGACCGTGGGTCCGCGGAAGTGTATTTATTAATTGATTAAAAACACACAGCGTCTTCAAGTCATGGTATGATATTTTTCCTGCCCTCATGACCACAAGGCATGACAAGCAGTAACGCTTTGTCCGTTATGCAGTCTTCGCGGTAACACGTTACAAGTAACAGCGTTGCCAGGGACGCGTTACTTTTTTTCAGTAACGTATACCTACTCGTGACTTTTTCGACACAGTAACGGGTAACGTACTACGTTACTATTTGAAGTAACGTAGTTACGTTACTCGTTGCTACTTCCCAGGTCTTAAAGAAATTACACTTCAATTTTTTCCGTGTTTTTAGGTCTCAAGCCATGTAAATTTCTAAGTTTTCTGCGTTTTTCTTTACGTTTTTTCTCGTGAGTAGTTAGGTGAAACCGCAGAAAGAGATAAAGTAATTATGTTCCGTTTTTGCATGAACATAATATTTCTTGATATATCAGCTTATGCATAGTTGTATCGTCAAAACAGTAAAACGTGTTAAATCATAATTTAAAAACTAACGCAGAAGTAACGTGCCTTACTTTTTATCGGTAGTGGTAACGCGTTCCTTTTATTTTTAGGTAACGTAGCTCGGTAACGCTTACCTTTTATTTGCAATTAACGAGTAACATATTTCGTTACTTTTTTTCCATAGCGCCTACAACACTGCCGTTCTGTCGCCGATCCTCTTCTGCTTGGTAGCGCGGGCGTAGCGAGCCTCCGACGAGCGCTTGGCCGGTGCTTTTTGCGCGAACACCGTGGGAACAAAATCCGGGTGGTCTCGATCAGGCTACGGTTTCCCTGGATATCAGCAAGCCTTGGGACGGAGATTGAAATAAAAGCCGAACTTGCCTTCAAGAAAGTGCATGCCGCATAAAACGGTCGTTCGCACGAAGCGACCATTCTTTTCGATCCAGGAATATTACGCACCTTCTGTGTCTTTCAGAGTTCGCCGGAAGCTTGTGGAAACTCACTTCACTAATATTTCTGTACCTTTGGGGGCAATTAACGGCAACACAGCTTCGCGGCATGCTGAAAGGCTATTACGCCCATGCAAACCGGGCGCGCTTTTGCCCACACCACCCGGCTCCAGCGCGATCGCAGCGCCGCCGCAGCTCCGTGACGTCAAGCCCGCGTGTCGGTCTAGATCGAACCGTGTCGCCACCGTGCGGCCGAAATTGGAAACGTGCGAAAGCGGGGATACCGCCGTGCGTCGTCTGCTGCGGGCGCACGCTCAGAAGCATGGATGTCGACGACGCAAGTCCCGTTTCAGGCTGGGCATGACATTCCTTATTAAATGTTTTATGTTTTTGTTGCCGTTTCTTCTTACTAAAGGTTGTGTTGTATCGTTTCACATGCGTGGAAATTCAGCAAAGCGATTTTTATTAAGTCGGAAGCTTCCATAATATTAGTGTGTTGGTTTGTATACAGTCGCTGGCTCCACGTATTTTTGTTATCTCGCACAAACCGTGGCTTTCATAAAGCATTGAATGTTGAGTGGGTCTGTGGTTTGATTCGAAAAGTAACCCGACTGATCGCCCGCCTTTAATAGACTAATCAATCAATAAATCCGTATGTTGATTTTTCGCCGGTCATATCGCGTGAAAAACGTTAAAACTACACATTGTTTTACTGGTTTTACTATGTCATAAATGGCATATTGCATTCCCATTTTAAACTTTACATTGTGAGTCGGTCCCACATAAATATGAACACGGGAATCCTTTTTAAAATGAAGTATTTTTTAAGTTATTATTTAAACAGTATAATCACCCTCGGTGAAATGACACGCTGAAGTAGTTTACCGCGCAAGCCTGTGTCACATAAGAAACAAAGATGTCAAAAATATTAAAGCAGGAATTTTTTACTCCTTGCTGACTTTCTCCAGCACAAGACTCCAATTAACCGGCAAAACGAATTGCAATTAAAGCATTACTTGAATAATCTGAAAGTTAATTGATGAACTGCCCAGTCTTGATATACGTTAGGTGAGGGCGGAGGGTGATCGGAAAGTCTTGTGAAGGTCGCTATAGCCGGGCCCTCGTCAGTAAAAGAATGTCACTGCGGCCGATGCTGTCTGTCGTGGTGCGCGTCGTTTGTTGGGGTTGCAGAGTCTACTGTGTATGAATACAAGTTTATTT